CGAAATGAATTACATATTTGTACATCTTATGACAATAATCCAAAAATCACCAGAATGTTATGTTTATGCTGTTGAAACGTTATTGAAAAATTTGGAAATGCAATCTCCTTGACCACCTTGTGTATCTTCTGAATCAGCAACATTTCAACCCGGCGTTGGTATCGAGGTGACCAAATTGATATTCATTGTTAATGTATGGTGGAGGCAAACCTAGTATAAGGAAATCGTGTTGAAATTCAGATATTCTTCATTTTGACCGCAAATATCATGTTCCCAGCTGATGATGAAAAAGCAATGATACTTCAAGAATATTTATTGTGATTTACTGTGATGAGAATATCAGAAATAATGCGAATGCATATATTTGATGAGATATAATATAAGTAACCTATCAATGTTGGAAAATATGATACCGATGGAAATAGGTGAAGAAGATTACCTACTCACGATGCAGTTTCTATATATTCATTGAAAAATTTGATATTACAAAAGTGGTGAGGTATGATGTAATCCACTCTAGAGTACTTCACGCACCTGTCACTCGCACTTGATTTGAAAATATACTGTAACAGCAATAGCAGACTATGGATAAAGACCTGAAACTTATTTATTAGGATATGTACATGCAAATATCCTGTCAGCTCACGAAATTGAGGCTTTACAAATTCGGCTGGGGTTTTTTACACCCCACATTACCAACGCCTGGCTTCAAAGGGCATGTTGGGCCAAATCTTCATATTTTGATGTTGATTTCCTGATTTTCAATAAGTTGCACATGTGTGATGGTATCCAAATGAAACCCTTTCCTTCTGCTCCCTGTATATTTCTTGATATATTGACGATAATATATCTATTGATTCGAAGAAGAAATAAAAAACCTCATGAGAAATAGAAAATATATACTTCATAACGTGTGAACTATGCTACTCATTCAGTTAACTACCGACCCAAAAAAAGGAATAATATAATAAGAAATATAAAATATTCGTTCCCAGATGTATGTTTTCATCTACCTTTACTCAACAGGGTGATCATTAAAAATTCTTCGCCCGCTAATATCCTCACCAATTCAATGCGAAATAAAAAAAAGGTTTCATATATCAGCAAATGTTACCTTTTTAACTAATTCATTCAAACATCCAATTCCATAATAGGAACAAAACCATAATGAAGTTCAAGAAAAGTGATTGCTAAGTTATTCGATAGATAGATACTTACCTCTAGAGTCTGGAATCTGGATCTTGAGAATACTATTCGAATATAAAAAATGGTTGTGTTACATCAGTTTCTACACACCTGATGCATCCTGTATCAATATCTTCAATATCATACCGCATTGACCTATTATCATATCCAAAATGTCACTCAATAGTATTGGGGGCAACTCCTGCAGCCACAGCTTCAAGTTGCGTAATTGTTAAGTAGCATAGTTCGTTCGTATGTCCAATATAGGCGTTTTTGTCTATTGTCTACACAATCGCCTTGGCGGTTGAATACCGACGGCTTATTTTGGCAAGGTTACTCGTAAAAGTATATCATTCAACAAGCACGGGATAAAAGTGATTTTTCACGAGAATTGAGTTTGCAGCATGAGTCGTGGGCAAATGCTGCGATCATGCGATTGGGGAATTAGAAATTCGTGCGATTATGCACTATAATTTTCTAACAGGTGTTACAGATAACAGCGACATTTTTTATCACTTCGTCTTCGTAGCCGTCTGATCTCCTCCCAAGTGATGCCCATCTATTGGACAGTGTGAGCTGTCATTGTTTAAAATTTGTCATTTGACATGTTAGATACGGAAATGAAATTGTTGACATACAAAGTTCCTCATTGATGTAACTAACATAGCTAAACAAGAGTGATATCGTATTTTATTCGTAGAAAATAAGCATCTCGTTAAATCTCCTGTTTCAATTGTGATGATTGAATGGGTTCGAAGTTGCATTGTGGTCGTCACCTCACCGATTGAACATATATTTTTGTTTTTGTTTTTTGAATATGAATATGATTCATTGATATTCTTCATATAGGACGTGGAAAGAAGTTCTGCAGAATTCGCTCGTCAAACAGAATGTTACTTCTGATCCTAATAAAACAATCTACTAATCTAAATCATATTTTGCTCCGCTATTTCAACCTTCTGCACTCACTTGCGAACTCAGAATGTTGAATCAGATATTGAAATTCGTGATGTAAAAAAAATATTGGAAAATCTCATCATTATGTTTCAGTATCGAACAAAAAATAATAAGCTATACTCTCCAGAGCAATACCACAGAATATTCATCTATAGAACATGGGTTATTATCTGTGTTGTTTCGATAAATAATATATCATCAATAATGAGAATATGTATCCCCTATGAAATTGACGACAAAAATTGTTCATAATATAGACGAAAACATTATGAATAAACACATTTCGAAGACATATATAAATTCATATACGAAATGAATAAATGCATCTTTAACACACTCTCATGATCTTCATCCGACTAAACATCATTTCAAGCTCTTACCCTCGTCAAATCAGAATATCTCACGATCAGATATTATATCTGATAATGATTTGACATATCGAAGGAATATCAAATAAAACATTCAGATTCGATAACTAATAGAAAGAGCAGTAAGGTACTGAAAACATCGAATCATAGTACTGGCAATATATGACTTTGTTCCAAAGAAGCTCGTAAAATACAGCAGTCATCCACCATGGTTTTCCGAAGAAACAATCAAATTAACAAAAGAAAAAATTAAATATCATCGGAAAAAGAAAAAATTCAAGAATCAGGCTGATTACTCCCGCTTTTCTTTTTTACGAAGAGAAGTGAAGAAGAATATTGAAAATGATAATAAAAACTACATAAGAAAAACAGAGGTTAAATTGAAACATGATTCAAAATTTTTTTGGTCGTATATCTCCAATAAGAAAAATAATCATTCCATTCCGGCTCAAATGAATTTTAATGGTGAATCATACACTGAAACAGAGTCTATATGTGACATGTTCTCGGATTATTTTGGCAGTGTTTTTGAAAGTAACCTAACCCCATGCCTTATTCCGAATGAACCATCGGACAACAGTATCAATATTACATATATCTCAGAAAAAGATATTCACGATGCGCTCATTGAACTTGATGAAAAAAAAAAGGTCCCGGACCAGACAGTATACCACCATTATTCATAAAATAATGTAGGTCAAGCTTAACGCATCCTTCGTACGTATTATTCAATAAATCCTAGGTTTCCGGAAAATTTCCGTCGAAATGGAAAATCGCACAAGCCATACCAGTATTCAAATCAGGAAATCGGACAGATGCATGTAACTACAGACCAATTCCTTTATTGAATATATTCGGTAAGGTATTCGAATCCATTATTACACAACAATTATTTTTTATATCAAAAATTCGTCTCACAATTAATCAGCATGGATTTTTTAAAAACAGAGGAGTCGTGACCAATTTGGTACCATTTGTACAAGAAATCTTCGATAACATGAATCAGGGAGTTTCAACTTGTGCGGTGTACACCGATTTCTCAAAGGCCTCTGATAAGGTGCATCACCCTACCCTTATGGTAAAGCTTTCTAATTCCGGAGTACACAGCAATTTGTTGAAACTCCTAGAATCGTATATCACTGACAGATATCAGTACGTAGCACTGAATAATGTGAAATCTACCAAATGCTGAATCACGTCCGGGGTTCCGCAGGGCTCACACTCGCGTCCCATTCTAAAATTGAACAGAGATCAGATTACGTGGGTATCCAGAAAGATCTAGAGAGACTGCAAATCTCCTGCAATACAAATAGATTATTTATCAATGCGAGCAAATGTTATAATGTTCTATTCTCTAGATCTCAAGACCCTATCACTGAAAACCTATTCATCAATAATCAGATAATATCAACAACTGAAGAAGTTCGAGATCTAGGAGTGATACTAGATGAAAAATTAACTTTTGAATCACATATTAGAGCTGTTGTTAAAAAAGCACTCCGCACTCTGGGATTTATTCTGAGAAATACTAAAGAATTTCAGGATTATTCATCAGTTACCACTTTATATAAATCATTAGTCAGGCCTATCCTTGAATACTGCTCTACCATTTGGAATCCTGTGTATGACAAATATGTGAATCAAATTGAACATGTTCAAAAAAAATTGGCCAACAATTTGAACTATAGATTCTTCCGCTTCCGTCACTATATGAGCTATAAGAGCAACTTGCGTTTCTATAGAATAGAGAATCTCTTCATTAGGAGAGACTTCGTTGACATATTATTCATTTACAAGATCTTCAACAATCATATTGATTCAACAGCATGCACTGGATTCCTGAGCTTGAATTGTAATCCTAGAATGGTTAGGAATAGACTCACTTTCTACCCACCTTCGTTCTCAACTAATTATTATAGTATTTCACCTCTAATAAGATGTATGAACTCATACAATACAATTTGCCACTCTAATATTGATATATTTCACCTTGATATCAAAAGATTCAAGAAACAACTGAGAGAATTCTTGTCAAATTTTTATAGTATTCCTCGAATATAAAAATATAGAAATAGTGCTGGTATTCATTCATTTATGATACTTAAGCCATATCGAAATTGTAATTTTCCAGTGTGTGCCAAAATACTATTTCCATGTATATTTCATATGTGCTGATATTGTATATACCGACGTTACTGTTCTTTTCTTCAGATTGTTATTTTTGAATGAAAATCATGGAATAGGTAGGTACTTAGTTTTTGAATGATAGTATGTAGGTGCAAACCATGTGAAGACAATAATTTTGTATCACTGTGTTATCCTGTCATTGGAATGACTATTCATATAGTTACTCTGTTGGATAACCTTGTTTTCTAAATAAATAAATGGATAGAAAGTTGAGATTATTGAAATCTGATCAAAACCTTCATGTCACCTTATGAGTGCATATCAATTTTCATTATATTCCTCAATACTGTGTTCAATTTGCAGATACTGGAATAAGCAACTAGAGCGAAAAAAAGGAAACCCAAAACAGTCTCCTAGTCTCCTGAAAGCTCTGCTCTGGACATTCTGGATAGAGATATTGAACTTGGGTGTACTCATAGGAATCTCAGATATCGTTATACGTATTACTCAGCCCTACGTTCTTGGCCTTCTACTAGATTATTACAGTCCAGAAACTACAACTAGTAAAACGGAAGCGCTGGTCTACGCTGGAATTATAGTCTCAATCAACCTGAGTACTTCGTTTCTGAAGTCGCAGTATTTATTGAGCGCCAGTCATACAGGGATGAGAGCCAGAGCAGCAGTTTGTTCGTTGATTTACAAAAAGGTAATTCTGATGTGGGCATCTGAACTCCTGAATGTGACGAATATCATAATACTCCCAGAGGATTTCATCCTACAGGAAGTTGGGTATAAGATTTGATTTCTTTATTTCGTTTTGATGGGTATGAAGAGTGAAATATAAAGAATGTCGGACATTTTTCGGTTTTTTCGTAATGTGTCGGAAAGGAGTGGTTCTACCGGAAAGATAGTCACCCGTAGAGCATTGAATTCCCAACAGACTTTAGCAATAACTTCTGGCACTCAGATCAATGAGAAGCAAAGATGAACCATTTCTCACAAAATGGCAGTAAAGCCAAGTAACGCCATCTTTTGTGTGAGTTATTGCGTCCCATGCATTATTTGTTTGTATTTTCGAAATATATCATACTGTGGTCCGAAAAGTGAAAATATGCAGTATCCTGAAAAAACTTCCGGACAAATTAAGCATTCAGTGGATGTATTCTAGGATTAGCAGAGCGAAAACGGAGCGGATAATGAAGCTGGCGAGCTTGTGTTCAAAGCATTGTACTAACAGGCGACGTTCAGTGGACTCGCAACATTGGACGACATTCGATACGATCTTTTCAAAACGTGCGTGTCTGTAGGTGAAGTTAATCTTGCTCGGTTGCCACCCACTTCTGATGCTGCTGCTCTTCACTCACTAAGATCGTTTTACCGAATTCAAGTTTGGCTGGATGCCACACACTTGAACCCCAAACACTAAGGTTGAACCAGCAGTTTTCATGGCCTGATTTCACAGCATGCAACGAAAGACCCAGCACCCAAAAGCCTATTTCAAAGTGTCTCGTGCACTTGCAGATATGGATGTCAGCAAGCTTACAAATGCGTCATAGCCGGGATGAAATGCTCCAGTATCGACAAGGAATTTAGAGGCACCGACTGCGACAATGTCCCACTGTACTCCTCCAAACTGGACACAGATGGTGAGAAAGAGGGACATACATTCACCTCATCAACCATGGATGAGGTCTAAGAGGTCATGGCACCTGTTCGTGAGGAACCAGGACCGTCTAAACGCATAAGAAGGAAGTGAAGTGAAAGGTTAACTCCTCTTTTCATTGGTCAATGTTTCAATGTTCTCATTGTAATGAAATACTCCACTTGTTTGATACAAGTTTCCTCCATACACATATTTCCCCACTCTCTTGTCTCCTCTTCTCCTCTGGTTGGTGATGGGGGAACTAACAGAAAAGTTTCAGATCATTCTACCTCCTTGGCTACGTTATTCGGCTCATTTATCATTTAGAGAAAAATTGTGCATATTCGAGTTGCTGTAGCACGCTTTCTATTGGTCGAAAAAGAAAAAGTCATGAAAAATGTGTAGGGAATTTAATGTTCTACATTTTTGTATGAGGACTGTTTCCTGCTAGAACCACTTCTTTCCGACATATTGAGAAACAAAAATAAGAATTACCAAAAACTTCGAGGTTTCTTGGCTTCCAGGAGTTGTGCCGAGGCCAGATTAACCCTTAACTACACTAACTAACTAAATTTGCAAGGAATGATGCGAAAACAGCTTCACCAGCGGTGGAAGGTTGAGATCAAATTGATCTTCAGATAGATAGAATGTTAGAATTTTTGTGTTCGATGAACTTGAATGATTTCAAAGTATTGAGTTTCATTCCATAGATTATGTAGCAACCCAAGGATGAATCGCAGGTTTTTTTCTGTCAATCTCTTGGAGCGCACGAATGAAAATTTCCATAAGTTTCGAAGAACTTTGAGCATTCTTGTTTGCATTCGATATAATATTACATGAACCCCATCACTACACATATACTGTAGATCGTTATGCTACAGAAACTGACGCAGGACAGTATATAACCAGATAACTCTGAAAATTTCACAGTTGACATTTAACTGAAGACCTTGCTGAAATTCTTTTCAAAATGAAAGAACCGTCGAAGATGTAGGAAATGAAGTTTTGGATATGTCTAGACCTGGAGTACATTGAATACTCTTGGTTCGTTAGAGCGACCCGTGAAACAGTAATAATAAGAGATAGTACCTATAATGAACCAAATATGAGATCGATAGATGAAAAGGAATAGATATCAATCAGAATCATGGGTTATACGAAATCAACAGGGTGAGTCGATAGTGTGTTCTCCTTCGATATTGGTCAAAGCAACAGATATACAGGGTGATTCTTAATTCAGTTACGCATCAGAATGTCAAGAATTTTCGTTTAGAGGTTATCTAGATATTCAATGAGGAATATAATTACACATATCAAACATCACGAAACACCATTTATAGAAGAAATTCAAGAGGAACAGGTGGAGGATTTTCTTCAGAATTTCCATCATTGGTCAAAACTGACATTGAATTGGTACAGATACAGGGTGATCAGAACTCCAGAATCTTGAACCACCCTGCATTTGTCCTAATCATATGTCTGTAGATAGTAGATCGAATGTTCAGATGGAAAAATTAGAGCCGTTTTGACCAATGAGGAGCAGTTTCGACACAAAAAATCCTTGAGTTGAAAATCCCGATTTTGACTACCCTATTTATCTCTTGTTATCAATCCAGTTAGACCCCAAATGTTATGTTTTGGCGAATACCAAGGAAACTTATCTGATCCATGGTATTGATGCAATAATATGATATAGGGCGTTCTTTTCGAAAAAAAAATCATCATCTCATGTAACCTCCCAACTGTCGTATCCGAATTTCTTCTATATATCTGCCTCATTGAATGATATCGGAAATGAACAAACTATCGACTCATCCTGTATACATATACTCAAATCAAATAATTGTTGTGAAATCCGATGTTATACAAGATATTCAAGCGATAGTGATTCGTTTCACTAGGCAGCAAAGTAGTATATCGACTGCCGCGGCTGATAGTTCATAGCCGAGCGTAGCAAGGCAAAGAATTCAGTCGCGGCAGTAAATCTACATTTGCTGCCGTGTAAAACATATAATTTGTTTCTACAAATGTGATGAAACCAATTCGGTGTGATTTTTCAATAAAAAACTCCGTCATTTTGTCATCTCTCAATGTCAGTGTTGATTTTGATTACGAACTTTATTCAAGACTCAGAACTCAGAACGTTGCATAGCAACAATATTATCTTGAATAGGCAAAAGAATTACTATTTTTCTGCCTGTTGGGTGTCAGAGAAATGCCACTTTCAATGCCGCTCAGGAAAAAAAATAATAATCAATTTGAATAAAATAGTCACTAAAACATTCGAATCTATCACACAACAACCAGAAAATCATTGATGATAAAAACAACGAACATTCATCACTACGATTATTGCTCGTTCACTACAAAACTCTGCGGTGCAGCCACGTTCATCTTCTGATGATTATTTTTCTTCATTTCGCTATGTACTTCACGATAACTCATGAGTTAGTACATATTCATTAGTAGTGACTATATGAAAATCATGTTGTTATTGGTATATTTCTATATTTTGGAGGTCGTTTTATTCTTGTCACAAGCTATTTATATCCTATTGATTGGGATATTTTATACAAGTAATCTCTTTGAATCATCGATTTGGCAGCGATTTCATAGCGGTCCATCGAATTTGATGCATTTTTCGTAAAAGAACTAATAAAATTGTGAACACCCTATATTGCGTGCTGTGAACACTCAAGCGTGTATCAAAGTTTCCAAATTTCACGTGTGCACTGGACTATTCACTTAGAGATTGGCATTCTAGGTAAACCCACCAATAATGAATTATTATCATTGTTTCCATCAGAAAATCCACTAGCGCAGCGAGCCGCGCGAGATTATTAGATGCACTCGTTCTCTAGAAACGATTCTCTTGCTTCACAGGCTCTCAAACTGAGTCAGACAGCTGTTGCTGCGAACCCGCCTGGCAAACTGGTGAATTTGTTATCTAACGACGTGTCCAGATTCGATGCAGCTTCCGTCCTGATTCACCAGATATGGATCGGTCCCCTATCAGCCATCGTTATACTGTTCCTCATTTTCCAAGAGGTGGGTCTATCAGGAACGGCAGGAGTAGTCATCATCATGGGGATGCTTCCACTACAAGGTAGGTTACAGCTAGACACTTGACACCACATGGAAGCTTCACTTTCAAATGTGATGGTCTAGTTTATAGTAACAAAACTCCAACAATTCTAATGATCTTTATGACCTGGTGATATTGCATTGTAATTCGCTAGGATGTCGCCATCACCTCCTCGCGTCTAAATATCGTCACAATCATGTTTTCTGCTGAGAATTTCTTTGCGATGTAACTTTCGATATATCGCTGCGATGTGTTGATGCTATGTTCAGACAGCATTTCCATGATGACGTAGCAGAAATGTGATGAAATGACGTAGCAGCAATGTCCCTCATAGTCATCACAAAAATGCAGGTGTATGCAATGTACATTGTGATGTAGACAGGTATTCGAGAGTTAACAACGAATAAAGATATTGCTAAAAGAAAAATCGACGATGAAATGAATGATCCAAATATATAATATAAAGAGTATAATGCGTATGGATGAGTTTCAAGCTATTCTCAAGAGAATATCGGACATACCGAGGTACATACCCGAGAACATGCATGCCATAGTTGACATACCCAGGAGTAAAGCAATTTTTTCAGAACACTTTCATACGCCACAGGATTACCCTCTAATAGAGCCCGCAGAGGCGGACGATGCAGGCCTCGCCGATTATTTTATATACCTCCAATTCAGCGAATGTCAGTGTGTTGTCCAGGCAGAAAAGATTGATCGTCGATTGCTACCTTGTTCTCTCAAATTTGGCATTTTTTGTGTTGAAAAATGAAAATGAACAACCAACTTCTGAACATTATCTGTGAAAGACTCTATGAGAAATGAGGGGTGAGATATGTGTGGGAGAGTGATTGGTATCTAATAGACTGATTTTGTATCGGCAAATAGACCAGTTTTGTTAGCCAATAGACATGCTAAATTGTCTGGATCCTGCATCATGGTAATGCTCCGATAGTCGTTTTCAGTCTAGAGTCAGTTCATTAGGGATGAGGATGAGGGGTGGGTGAGTTATTCGGGGGGTTCTCTGAATACATCGCTGGTCTTATATTTCAGCCCATGTTTACTACGGATGTCATGATCTGCCCTTATTCTCATTATTTCTCTCGTGAGTTCACTATCCTGAATGGAATGTAAATATAATTCATTTGATATGATATGATATTCAGATTCATCTGATACCTCCAGAACCGTGTTCTTCAGAGTTCCAGCCCCTTGCCAAACGACGATGTACTGACGATTAGATCGTAGATGATAGAATTGTCTCTTATCTCATTGGCATCTATTATCCTAGACTCCTGATGAGGAACTAGATTTTCTATATTGTTGAATTCAGCGCCTCAGCAAGCGTCAGATTGAACTGTTTCAGGTGATTCAGCCCTCAGCAAACTAGAGCATGGCATGCTTGAGCAAAGTATGAGTTTCACGGTTTTGGTCACGTTATAAAAAATGCGGCAAGTTTGAGTCTCTGCTAGGCCCTTTGTTTCAAATAATACCTGAGGAGGCGGTGCCTAAGCTTTGGTTAACTGCAACTCAATAGCTGTTGGTGACCTTCATTGTTCCCTGTGTGGCTACCACGACCAGCATCCTCATGAATATCCGATATTCAGCGATAGCTTCAACATATTCTTCACCCTTGGAAAAAAAAGTATATTCGAAAAACATTGTGGAGAAAACCTTGCACCCTCCCCAGATAGCACAAATTCCTTTTGAGGCCCTTCTGAGGCGTTCACAATAATGTCCTCAGGACGTCGAGAGCGAGCCAGAGGACATTCTTAAGACGTCCTCCTGTTACCATTCTCTACATACTAATAACGTCTCAGAACATCCCTATAAAATCTTTTGAGACAACCTCAGGACATCATAGTAACAACTTGAGGCGGTTTTTGATGATGTTTCAAGGAGGTTCAAGATTTATGGGAGAATATTATTCGTATACAGAATGAGTCACTAGTGTGTTCTCCTCCGATATTAGCCAAACCGTCAGATATATAAAATGAAAATTCGAGAACAACAGTAATAGGATTTCATAAGAACAATCACCTAAAGTTGTTTTCATATCTATAGCTAGGGTGTTCGAATTCCAAGATATCGGTTGATGATTGTTTTTTTTTTCAATGGAACACCTTGTATATTATTACATTTTTGAGTTTTCCCTGAAGAGTTGATTTCATCAATGCATCACACTTGATGTCTAGTGGAAATTATTACAGAGATATGTTGACAATCGAGATTCTTCAAATGTAGGATTTTTTGTGTCGAAACTATTCATTAATGGTCAAAACGGCTCACATGTCCCTGTCTTAACTTTTGATTAGCTATCTACTGATATTTATTTGGAACAGATACAATAAGCTGATCAGTATTCTGAATGTTGAACCACCCTCTATTTGTTCCGATTGAATGTCATTAGACAGTAAATCAAAAGTTCATGAGGAAATGTGAGCCGTTTTGACCAATATTGAATAGTTTCCACAAAAAAAAAATCCTAAAATTGAAAAATCTTGTTTTTGAACACCCTATATCTCTGTAATCATTCCCGCTAGACCCAATGTTTGATACATTGATGAAATCAGCTCTTCAGGGAGAACCTAAAAATGCAATAGTATACAGGGTGACCCATTTGGAAAAAAACAATCATCAGTCAATATATCTTGAAATTCAAACACCCTATACAGATATGAAAACAATTTAATGTGAAAGTTCTCATGAAACCCTATTACTGTTGTACTTGAATTTTCTCTATTTATCTGATGGTTTGGCTAATATACAAGGATAACACACTATTGACTCACCTTGTATTATGCAAATGATAATTTCTTCAAAATGATATGGATCTCATAATATTTGCAAAATTTCCCTCTATTTATAATAGGTTCAAATGAAAAACCAAATGAAAAACTTACATTTTATTATTTATAACTTATTCTGAAAAATTTCAATTTCCTTTTTGAAGAAATGTATTTCAGCTTCTTGTTGAGCACTACTAGAAGTTATTGCCTATTGGTAGTTATATTTCTCCATGTTGTTTTTGATTTCTGAACTCTGGACATTCCTGATGCAGAATCAACTGGAAGTTGAAGCCTTCATGCAATATTTTATAGATTCTGAAGAAGCAAAACTATCTGAAACAAACAATGTATTAATATTTCATGTCCAGTACTTACTATCAATGATATGATTTATGTAGTAAGGTACCAACCATTATTGAATCTACTGAAAGTTCAAGTCTGCATTATGTACAATCTTTCATAATTTCCAAAGAAGCCAAAATATCTTGGAATAAAATATCTCTGCTCTGATGATATCATCATTTTGTGTTATCAATAACCTCCTGAAACAAATAATGTACCTATTAATATTTCATGTTCCAGTACCTACTATATCAATGATTTGATTTAGGTACCTACCTTTATTGAATATACTGAAAGTGCAAACATGCATACAATCTCACATAGATTTCGAAGAAGCCAAAATATCTTGGAATGAAACATCTTTGCTCTGATGACATCATCAATCTTGTGTTCTCAATAACTTCATCTGAAACAAATAATTAACCTATTAATATTTTATGTCCAGTACCTACTATATCAATGATTTGATTCAGGTACCTACCTTTATTGAATTCATACTGAATGTGCAAGCTTCCATACAATATTTTATAGATTCTGAAGAAGCAAAGATATCTTGGAATAAAACATGTTTGCTATGATGATATCATCAAGTTTGTGTTCTCAATAACCTCCTGAAACAATAAATAATGTATATGAATGTATCAATATTTCATGTCCGGTACTATCAATGATTCTATTTAGTATTTACTCACCTTTGTTTCTTGCTACCTGAGAGAAATGTCATCAACAGAGATTATCATCCTTTTGTCTCGCCTTTTGTTATTGTTATCTTTTAATTCTGTGCAATAAGTTCTTCTCGCAATCATTTTGTGAAATAGAAATTTGATGAATGCATGATGGAGGTATTCAATGAATACTCTAATAATTTTGATATAATCATTAATATTATGATGTATCTTGAACAAATCATGACTCATGACTATCATGAGACATAACCTCAATTCTAGTTCTTATTTTTCTTCCTTGTGTCTTCGATGACACGTTATTTCATGGAATGTCATCTGTAGACGTCCGTAGGCACGAAATTCTTTATATCCTCATGCTGTCACTGAAAGAACTCATTTAGGACAATTACAGCGCTAAATTTACGCCTGATGATGTTCTTAGGTTGTGGAAAATAGAACGTCCTCTCCAGGCGTTGGGCGACACATTGAGGATGACCTTAGGCGAGTGTGTGCTATCTGGGCTGGTCCAGAAAGACTCCTGGAATAAACCTAGTTTCAACCGGATAGAGAAAAGATAACACATCACCATCTACATATCGGGCAATATTTTCAGAGAAAATTCGAAGGTACAATAAGTAGGTACCTAACTATTCACACTGATGTATCATGCACAAAAAATGGTGTCGATGCTGCCATGGTAGTGGACAATGATCCTCACCGTTGGACACGGACTTCGACATGCAGCATCTACACAGCGGTATGCGATATGGCAAGCCATGTTATACTGTTCTTTTCAAGATGATACAGAATGTATCATCTGTACAGACTCTCAGAGTGCTATAAAAATTCTGGAGAATCGTTTCACATCGAATGATTGGGCTATCAAAATCGTGAAAACATATCTGTTTTCGACATCCCTCGATAAAATAGTGACAATCATGTGGGTTCCAAGTCACATGAACATAAGTGGAATTGAATTAGCAGATCCATCAGCGGAAGATAATACTACAGTTCCATTAGAAGACGTTGGGAAAAATGTGAAACGAGAATTCCATTTTGTGTAGCAAGATCAATGAAACAGATACGATGAATAGCTAGCACATGGCCTGACCAGCTCTGAGGATCTATGTATGATAGCTCTTGAAACAATATTTCAGCAGCACCTAAGTACTTGATTTTTTGATTATGGATTCGGTAATTGATTTTCAACCACAACAAAATATCAGTATTTACCCTACAATTCTGTTACTTTTTCACTTCACTCAAATATAAAATTGCCCTCACCTATGTTTTCAACAACTTCCCAGATTAGAAATGAAGATTGGTTCTCTGTTTTAAAGAACCGATGTTTCATTTATCGAGAAATTGAGAGATATTCTCTTCTGAAGTGTGAAACATCAATCATTTGCGAATGGTACCTATTGTGATAATCGATATACTTCTATTCTGTGAAGTTTCTACATACATTGATCCGAAATAGGATAACAGTCCATTTTTAATGAAATTATATAGGGAGTGCCATCCAATGAGAATTGCGGGGTAGCTACTAGAGGGCTGACGAATCAGGTACTTCTTTCAAAGGTCATTCGGAAAGTACTTCGATTGAATTCGAATCAGTTTCTGCTCTTTTTCAATCATCTTGTCAAATAAGCGAGATAATACCTGTATGTGATAAACCCGGTACATGAAATGAGTTAACAAAACTTGCGATATTTCATCACATCGAACCAACAAAAATATATATAATTCATAATAATAATTATTATTGAATACTATGACAGGAGCACATTTCTGCGAACCCTCCAAACCTATCTTTAAACATCTACAAATATTAACACCTCCATGTTTGTATATTATGCAAGTTACATTTTATGTTCATAAGCATGAAGAAGTACTTGTAAGGCACGACTGGATTCATCAATATAATACAAGAAATGCAGAGAATTTTTATATTCCTTTCTCAAGATTGGCAGTGGGACAAAACTCACATATTTATCAAGGAACAAAATGTTACAACAAATTCAACAATTTAATTAAACACAATATGAATACATGCAATCGCCAATCATTCAAAAACCTTCTATTTAATCACCTAGTCAAAAAGGCATATTTCTCAACCGAGAAATTTTTACTCCCATTTTAGTCCTATGTGCATATATTATGTTGATGTATCTCGTCACAAATGTACATTTTATTTTAAGTTCTCCACTATCTCAAACAAATGATTTGATTTTGATGTGTAAATCTTACTAAGATTGTAATATGTTTTATGTTCATTTTTATGATCTCTATTTCATTACATATTGTAAAGCCTCATAGGTATTTCTGTAGTACTCTGTATTTTCTACAATCTTGTGACTAGCCTGATAGTGTAGGCTGTGCAATAATATTATTGTATCTGTTTACTACTCATAGGTGAATAAAGTTCTATTCTATTCTATTCTAGATAGTTTTCTTCCTCAATGTCTCAGAGAATTTTTTCAACAGGTCATATTGCTGCGCGTCATGAAACGAAATAAACAAAAATGTTACTATTCATCATATTATGTGGGTTATATCGAACATCTTTTTTTTAAACACACTACCAACTTATGGAAGGAGTTTTTGAGTAAAAATGTTGAATTCATCGATGTCTTGCATGCATTATGTAATGAGATTTGATTTCGTATAACGAAATAAATACAGGCATATAATTGAAAATATCGTCCGCTATAGCTCTGGTTCACTGTACTTTCTCAAACACTAGATATAACAGAAGTACATCCAGAGTTTCTTCGAATCGTTGTTTCGCCTTCGTCGACATGCGACTGCTGATAACCTATGACTTCCAAGAATTGAACACCATACCATATCAGTGATAATCTTGTGGCGATTGATGCGAATATCGTTCCATAAGTCCTAAAGCGCTCTCGGCGATCTCTCAAAGTAGTTGCAGAAGGCATTACAATGTCCTAGGAGGATATCTTCGAGATATCTCCAGGGTGTCTTTGTACTGCACATGAATCTGCACAACTTCAAAATCTCGAATGTGAGCGATTGATAAGTTTTTATATGATTTCAATCCATATAATATGACTGCACACTGATTCTGAATCACCCCGAATAACTCATTGATACTTCTTCTCTTATCCATATTGGATTTTTTCATTGTAATATGCCAACATAAACCAGCTTATCCGAATCGCATCAAAAAACTTCTCTCAATGACTTTAGAAATATTAGATTCGACAGGCCTGTGGAAGTTATCGTTATGTTTATCGTCATCCTATTTGGAAGACAACGATAGCACCTACTTCGTATTTTGTACAATATTATCAAGAGAAATTTCAACATTTTGCGATCTTATTCACATTGATCAAATTGAAAATTGCCTCCGCCCATGTTTTTGAAAACTTCACAGAATGAAAGAAGAGCAATTATATAACTATGTTCTGTTTGCAAATGATTGATGTTCTACACTGTAGAATAGAACAGGTTACTGGCAATGAGTTTTTGACTTAAATAATTGATCTGCTTCTACTTTGTGGAGTGTGTAGAAACATGGGTGAAAGAATTTTTCCAATTGAGTTACGTAGAGAAGTTACGGAATGTTCATGTTCTTGTTGTTATAAATTGACAAAATAACTAGAATATGTTATTCTCCAAATAGGGCTGTCGAACTTATCTAAAATCTCTCGAATCATTGAGAAGGTAATTCCATGCCATTGAGAGCATTTTTTCCATTTCACTATTTTGAGAAATAAGCGAGACTTTGCCTGTATCCGATAACTTGGAACACCTGGTTTTAACGGTCGAATGATAATGTCGTTTCATAGATGAATCATAAAGGTGGATACCAAACCAACTCAACATTTTTCAATGAGTATTCATTACTCACTCCGGGTATGCTTGTGATCACTTCAGGAGCTTGCAATGAGGAATACTCTTTTGTGTTACACCCAGGACACCCTTGAGTGCTCGTAGAAAAATATATCTATTTATTCATGTCAGAGATAACCTTGGGAATCAGCAATAATGTGGAATATTCCAAATCTCAGACATAATCTCTGCGATTCCTTTAGGGAGCCTCCAGAGAATATTCCCCATGGTCAGCCCATAGTATATTTGGCACCTGGCATAGGGATTTCGCATTATGATTATGAAGATAACTACTCAGAAATATCGCCGAGAGTTCTGTGTTTTCCAGAATATATATCCTGAGAAAGAGAGGTTCATATCAACCATATTTGGCGCCACTGTCAGATCTTCCAAATCTACCTGCCGTACTCTGTATTTCTTCATGAATTCCATAAAATAATCCTGACGGTGATTGATTAGATCATCGGCATTGTCTGAAAGGATGAATGAATGTTATCTTTTCATCCGACTTTGAATCGGACGAAACTCTCATCACAATCCAGAATAGTCTATGACTGACCTAAAATAGCCCATATTCAATTCAATGAGATGAATGTGTGAATGCAAATTCGTGACTGTTGCTCAAATAAACTATCTCTTTCAAGTGATCCTTGGAATGTATAAGCACTTCATGAAATATAATTGATTTCAGGTTATGTGGGCAAACTCACTGCAGGTTACCGTAGGAAAATTGCCATGAAGACAGACGAAAGAGTCAGACTGATGGATGAAGTAGTAGGCGGTATTCAAGTGATAAAAATGTACGCGTGGGAAAATCCTTTCGCCAAACTGATCGCCCTAGCAAGATTGGCAGAGATAAAGATCATACGCTGGGCTTCGTACGTCAGAGGAATCTTCATGGCTATCAGCTTATTTAGCAACAGATTCGCTTTGTTCTTCACTTTGGTTGCCATGGTTATCAGTGGACAATCGATTACAGCCGCGAAAGTGAGTATCAACGTTATTTAAAATTTCACATTTCTCTGCAGAAAATTACATGCTCATAATATGGGCGATGGGAAATATCATCTGCAATAATCATGTATATGCAATACGAATACCTCTTTTTTATAATATCTCCAATCTTTTTGAACGCACCGCAGGAGACCCCTATCACGATCAGGAAACATCGTGAGTATCTAGGAAGGATAGGTAGGAAGCATATAAGTTTTAAGGAATTCATGGAATCTGAGTGCATCCGCGTATAGGTTTGGGTGCGGAACCACATAAGTAAACCACATTTCGAGATGGTCGTATGTATTCATCATGATCATAAAAAAACTGTTGAGGTGTGTAGTAGCTTCTCACTCAGTACAAACATCGGAGTATTGTTGGAGCAACATTTGTGGAAATAGTGGTATCAGACATTGCAATATCAGGCAAACGGTTCTTTCAGGAAAAATATGGGCCTGAGTTCTCAATTCTCATGGCATTGGATTCGAATAGGTTGTTGGTTTTCCAGGCTGTGATACTCTCGATATATCCAACGCCACAGCTAGTATTTCACCGTGTTCGTTTCAGGGAGCTTGTTATTCATAGGTTACGTAGCAAGTTGATCCTCTGTTGATTTCTGGGAGCGATCATTGATTCAAGAGCTCTCTTTATAATAGACAGTAACGCGATAGGTCGAAAGTTGCTAGGCAGATGTTTATTTCCTTCGTTGATGATTGCCTCGATTGATGGACCTGACGGCTCTCCTCTTGATCGACTCCTCATCATCCTCACTGTATAACTTGAAACTTGTAAGGCATGCGAACTGTGACTGAGAGGTAGTCCAATTCGAGCGTTATATAGTGTCGAAAGCTGCTGTGAGGTAGAATACCTCTTGACAAGAAATGAAAATTCCAGTTCATGAGAGGCAGCTTTTGTTCATATTCCCCAAATGGTTCGGCTGAGACAAATTACCAAATTCTGTTATTACCTTTGTAGGAGAAAAACCGATGATTGAATTCAGTGTGCTTGTATTGTACAAAATCCATATCGTACTATCATGAGATCTTCTGCAGATAATCGATCACCTTCTGGATTCGTTGAGAATATATATATGGGTTGGTTGTTGCAGATTCTGGTGTATCAGAAGATGAACACGTTCCAGGGTGATATCGTCAGCAAAATTGGGGAATTATATCAGTTGTGGTCAAGTGTGGGTGATTGTGATATAACGAAAGAAGGATCGATGAGCTAGTTGGCATAGTAGCAGAGGCGAACTATTTGAATGTTACATATTGAGCTGTGATTGGGGTCGAACTTCATAATTCTTTTTTATATGTAGAATTCCACATATTATGTGCTACGAATTCTCAACGTTCGCTGATTGCGATAGTGCCATTTCTCGATGGATGTCTTCATTGATGTCGTATCTCATATTCTCAGGAATGTTGCATAGAAGAGCGATTCAACAATAGTTGGAGAGGATCCTTCACAGAAAATTAAGGTAATGCCTAAGGCAAAGCATTTATGGGATTGAATAGCTATTATATAGCAATCATTCCACGAACATTATAATATTGTCCTCTTGAGGAAATAAGTGTGTCTGAAAATCTCCTCAACAAGCGTTGACTATACGCTCGTCGAGAGATGTGTTCTGTCTTTTCTCTCCTGAAATTCTGTCATCAGCATTCATTCATTCGATTTTTCTGTTATGAAATGAATTGCTTTGATTACTCTTATTCTCAACTACTAGATCAAAAAGGTTGATCTTGAACTGGTACATCAATGGAAGGAATGAATGATCAATGTCATCCCTACATCCTTCTGATGACGTATGTACTGAAGAATATTGAAGTTACTATAATTCTGAAATAGTTTTGAGCATGTTCTTACTGAGAAATCATGAGGAATATGGAGGGGACTCTGTACATTTCTACAATTACCACTGAGGACTTCTCAGTAGATCCTCAATTGATCGACAGCGTTTCTGTTACTTTTTCAATGAAGTTTCTACTTCCTGTATTTAACTAAAGCTACCAGCTGTGACAATTAAAAGAGCATTCCTGGCAATATTTCGAGAAGTTATGTGTTATGTGTATGTAGTATAATGTACAAGTTGTGTAGGGTAGAGGAAGTATGAAATAGTAGTATTCCTTCAACGCTGTACTATAATTCACTGACGTTTTCGAACAGCAAGATTTGATGCAACTCCTATGCACAAGGTTTCTCGAACACAGAATATTATTCAATTGAAATAGTGTATGCAATGTGGAGGTTCACGATTAGACCTAACATCAGAACATTTCTGGGCGTACAGATAGTGCTTCAGCGGATTATGAAATTGAAGTGGAATGAATCATTCAATCGACGATGTACTCGCTGACAGAGAAAATGTATTGTCACAAAAATCACAAGATACATGAGGGAATTTTCATGTTATGCGTGGTCGGAAGTCAATAACGACACTTTCCATTCAAAGTGTTACAAACCACGAGGCAGAACTGCTCACTGACTGACTGACTGATTGATTGACAGTCTGCTGCTCTGTGAGACGCGTCGTCTTATATAATGACTGTTAGCACTCAAAAAGTAGATTCGATGAAATTAGGTGACCGTGTTCATTAGATTGCTTCCGTTCGTGATTTCCCAGAAAACACAAATACATATTTGATACATAACAACCACATATTCCTGTTCTGATCTGATGTTGCAGATACATTATTTGTACAGTTGATATATCTGACATCAGTGTAGTGTTTTCTAAGTGAGTTTGCATACATATTCAACAGATTCATTATAAGTAATGAGCTTGTTTTTATGATGATACTTGGAAGAATGTCACAGAGTAACACCACCGCCACCACCAGCAGCACTACTGCTCTCACCACCACTACCAGCATTTTTTTTTATATATTTTGGGAACGTAGGCTGATGCATGCAATTTTAACCTTCTATTCTCGATTTCCTGCGATACGCTGCGATTATAGATGGATTTTTAAGTGCCTTCACACTCCTGACCCGCTATAAATTTTTCACCGTTTATGATGTGAGAGAGCTTCTTATATTTCTTGGTTATTCTTTCGGAAAGCAAATCAAGTCTATGATGGAGATAACAATAACCCTCTATAATAGCTGGCTCAGCCAGCTGATATATGGATATAATAGTATATTATTCAACAAGTGTTTGAAACGTCCTTTTAGTAACGAGTATTCTAAGCACGAGCTGAGCAGAGCGGAGCGAGTGTTCAATAAACGAGTGTCTAGAAGAGTTTATGATTGCGTTACATACTATGCTTTTTCTACGAACTCTGATAATAACATTAACACACCTGCTATTCCTACTAACCTACAAAATAATCCGAAAGAAATGGGAATTGAGAACATAATTCATGCAACTGCATGCAACCAGCGAGACACGTAACATGTCGTGTGTTCAGGAATTTTGTGGAAATCTCATCGTTTGTGAAGTTTTTACGTTTGCCATGGACTTTTATCTAGTTACAGCCGAGTCAATTCGAGATACTTTCAACATGTCTCACCTTCAGTCACTCATTGCGTGATCACTAAAAACACAGCGTTCCTTATTCTTCACTATCGATCCAGAACAAAACAAAATCCTATCGATCGCGATCGACCTTGTTCAATATATTGATTGAATATAATGTGACACTGGCTACATGTTCAAATAATTAGCTGGACCAGAAAGAACGGTAATCGTGAATAGATTGAGGTCGACAGATGAAAACATTCGGTAATATAGCGAGCTTACTGTGAGTCGAGAGAATATAAAGCTGAGGAAGTTGCAGTATTAGAAATAACACACGTGGAAGACCAGGGGTGATGATATCTTGTTGACTTTTATACAGCTCAGATATTGAACTGCGGAATATTCAGAATGCACTAAAAATGAGTTGGTGCCTGTTGATGAGTGATTGAAATATTGAAATCATTATTTCTTTCATAGAGACGAAATGATCAAGTAGGGAGAAGTTTCTCGAATACAAACCCAATCCCTTACTATTACTTGAACCAATTGTATTCCTCATAAAATGATTATACTGAATGATGGTGAGGCGAGACAAACTCCCACAAATTATATAGATATCATATAAAAAAATCAAGACGTGCGCACATATCAGCTTGTAGTGCAATTCATTGGCACAGGATTCATTCATCCGTCAGAGCGCACGAGAGGAAAATTTTTGATGTTTGGAGACCATCGTGCGTACTTGGGGAGGATGAGGAGAAGAAGTAGGTAGGTGCCGGAGTTTGATTTTATGGCTCTTGAGGTTATGAATTCATGGAAATACTTCCATTGCCAGTAAAAAAGAATTTCTGATGGAAATTTCGAGCATAAATATATATGTTTTGCACCTTTTCATTGGGATACTGACAGGGCACAACAGGTTGCGCAGACACCTATCACTTATAGAGATGAGAAAACGTCACTTCACTTCCGCGAAGAGTGTGAGGCGTATGGAGTTAATGAACTACAAGAGGTAGATTTGGACGAATCAGAGTGAACGGACATCCATATCTCCATCATGAGGTCAGGGAGATTCAGAAAGAGCAACTAGAAGGAGGATGTGTAGATATGTGGAGAGCAGGAGTTGGCAAAAAGAGCCAATTGATGCCTACTCACCTGACTGTAGCCTGCCCGACTTATACTACTACTATCACTACTTAGTTTTATATTGACAGCGTTGACCTGTCTTTGTGGCGAGTTGTGAATTTCCTTGAAAGACATGAGAATTGATCCAATGAAATGGGGTATTTGATTGCAATGGTATCGAACAGAAATCCCTTCACCACCACATGGAGCGATCTGCTATCCCAATGTCACTCCGTCACTCCTGCTCACATGAAATGAAAAATTGGATTTCGTTGGAATTATTTGAAAATATGTTGGATATATCGATGTGACGAAAAGAGCTATAGTTGATAAGATTCCACAAACAATGAAAGCTCTGTAAAATCCTCAGTCACACGACACAGTGGCTTCTTCACCAAATGACCGTACGTTCGAAATGAGATCTGAAATTTGACAATTCGAAACAGCGCATAGGCTCTTGATCCTTCTGAAGAAAGCGTGGAAAGTGTTTCGGAAGTTGATGTAGGTCCTTTTCAACCCAGTGAAGTAATCAAATGGCAAAAATTCATTATCAATTCAAGCAGAAAATAGGAACGAGGTGAAAAGGATCTTCTGGTACTGGTACTAGTGGAGGACGTTTCTACGTCAGCAACTAGTCCCCAATGGGACCTTTTTGCAAACCCCAAGTGTTTTCAATGACTGATGTGGTTCGCTCAAGAGAGCTGGCTAACATCCTTTTCAGGCACCGCCCATCAGCTCTCTTTTCAGAGTTTTTCAGCTGTGTTTTGTAGGCTAGTAATGTACTCACTACCATATACGCAGTGGCAGGCCTGCTAACTATCATCGTTAACCCCCGAGATCGAGGTCTACTTAAGCAGCTGGCCCGCTCTCACGCTCAGCTGGTAGTTTTTTCACACCCACCTACATACACCGTCCTTCTTCTTCTCTGATGCTCACAACCACATCATGATATCTTTCTGCGTGTTCTGTGTAGGCTTCGTTACTAACTCCATGCGCCACTTCAAGAGCAGCACTGTTAATTGGAATGCAACAGCGAATCGTGCAACTATCCCCAGACGATGATCCGAAACTCTACAATATTCAATTCGTAAATGAAATATTGGAAAAAGTTCCTTGCCCGTGCTGGAAATCGAACCCACGACCTTGCGGATCTAACTCGCAAGTCGATCTTGCTCAATATCCCGATATTTCTAATCTTATAATTGAATATCCTATACGGAATCATCAGTTCCGAAATCAATCTTCTTGAATTTAATTTACACATCTCATAGTGATTCAGTCTGCGTTCATGAAGCAAAAATCGAAGATCTTTATTGGTTCTGTTATTTGAAATCATTATTAGCTCTTCCAGAACTCTTTCTATTTTGACTGAATATTTGGAGTACCAAGAATTATACAGCAAAGGGCCATGTTCCAGATGATGTCTCACAAGTGAGTAGCATTATGGAGCCAAGATTTTTCCTTGATTTAAGATCAAAGAAGTTCATTTTTTGTTCAAACAATAGTTCTGCCTTCAGGATCATTTCAAGATCTCTGCTTTCTCTGATTTTCGATATATTGTTATTGTGATACTTGATGAGTGATATAAAGTGTCTTCAGGCCTGAATGAAGTGATAGAGTAACATATTCCGTACTTATGAAGAAATTGCCTGTTGGTTTCACAGTACACATTGAGCATATTAACCCTTAACTACCAATCATACGTCTCAGACACCAATCAGCATCCGATTTGTTGGAATACCACTGCTTTTCAATATCGGCCATTTTCCTTCTACGTTATTCATGTCCAACTAGCACTCATTCCGTACCCTGAAGTTGATTCATGTATATGGTTCAGTTTTAGAAATATCTTGAGTGAAAGATAGATTCCCGTCTCGTAGACGTATAGTTACTTATTACGTAACAATAAAAGTTCAATTTCACCTATAATACGTATGATTGCGTCTTTATTTAGATATACAGGCATTGTAATCTTTTTCGATATGCATGTTTATGACTTAGTTCTATGTCATATTTCATTACGGCTCTAAACTGTATTCAGAATGACAATAATATCATCGATAGTTTTAGTATTTTAATTTTATTTTAGTATTCCGATAGATCAACGTCGAAATTTTGAGCATAAAGTACTCCTCTATTAAATTTTGATCGCCATTGAAATTTGTATTTCTGTTTCAATTTTGATCATCATTTTCTCTTCGGAAAATAGGTAGAGAACGTGTTTGAATAGCTCACAAAAATATAATAATTTTTTTTTGATTTATATGGACAATTAAATAGTCCCGTCTGTAGTTAAGGGTTGAGGTCCTCTTGCATGTCTAGTCATTTGGACACCTGATATTGGATGTTCGTGAATATGCAGGTTGAAAACTTGTTTTGTTCGAAGACGAACAGAAACGTGCAATACAGGAAGATCGATGTTATTTTGCATACCAAATGATGTTTCAGCTCTGTTGGGAGAAATATCATCACATTACAACGAATATTTTCCTCATATATTGAATTTTCAATGGGAGCAATGCAATTATCGAAAAAATACAGCGGTGATTGCACTGCAGGGCAAAGATTGCACTGCGAAAGCATCAAGTCGTCATGAATACACTATGTCGCTAGACGCCAGTGAACAACACAAATAAATGTCAGACTTCAAAAATTCCAAAAAAAAAGGCGCGTTTTGGTGAAATCTCAATACAATCAATCGAAGAAAGTATAAATGGAAGTGAGCCAACAAGTCCCACAACCAACAGACAGTATATATGGCGACAGTTCATGGATTTCCGTCAGGCCAAAGAATATTACCTGGACAAAGAGACGTCCATAAGCTTTCTGGCAAAAATATTGACAGACGGGGCATTCAATATGTGGAAGCAGTATGGTGAGGAATATAAGGACTTTACAGTGGAGACAATATGGAATGTGACCGCAAAATTACTGATGGAAAAGTCTTACAAAAAATATCGTATTATTTTCAATCAGTTCACCGATATTATATTCAAATCAGCAAGAGACGCTTAACAAACTGAGAAAAAGCAGCTTCAGACGATTCCAGATGAAGAAAACGAGAGATCATTGTTTCTCAGAGGTGATGAATATAAAAATTTGGTTCAAAATTGTGACGAAGCTACACCAGATGGATTGCAAGAGAAGGTATCTTTCGTTTTTGCTTTCGAGCTAGCTTGGCGCTATGGGGAAGGCAGCAGAAGTTCAACCTTATTCTTCAAAGAAGAAGAGCATCATAATGGTGGAGAAACGGGAAGAATAATTCATAATCCTATATTCTCAAAATCAACGCAGAGCGGAGGTGAGCCGTGTGTTCCATAAAATGGTTGATTATGAATGAAACGAATCCTGATTCGTGTCCCTTAAGATTGTACATACATGAAATTCTCAGAGAAGCGGAAGGGATTCGAGTCAGATCGACTTTTTATTACTGTAAACCCCTTCTGGATGTCAGGCATAGCTTGGTCTAAGGTTATTCCTGCAGGGAGGAATACATGAGCTCCTGGACAGCCCAACAACCAGCAAGAACTGGCCTAGATCCGAAGAACGTGAAGATAACTCATCATTCGCTACGGTCTACAGCTGTTTCGAGTCTAGCCAAAAAAGGTGTCGGTGAGGAGCAGCTTATCAATATTACCGGCCATTCGAACACTCAATCCATCACACCGTACCTGCAGTTAGATGAAGGTCATCATGAAGAAGAAGTTGAGAATATGCGTGGAAATGAAGTATCTCCACAACTAAGTCTTGTGTTAAATTCCGATAATGTGTCAGCTCCAGCTGTTAATGCGCCTTTATCGGGTCGATCTAGTCAAAATATTGAAAACTTCTGCAACTGTGTGTCAACTGTTCCTTTAATTCATATTTCGTGTTATGTGAATAAAATTGTTCAGAAGCGTGTCTTATAGCATATTTTATTTGAAATATTTGTCAATATTATGTACGAAAGCGTCTACCTAGGGGTAACACAATGATAATGATGATAAACAATCCAATATATTGGAAAAGAATCGAATACATCGAGAATGTTCCCAATATATCGAAAAAAAAAAACAATATATCGAAAAAACAATACCAATATGTTAGAAGGAATATTGAATTTATTGAAAAAAAATCCAATATGTTGAAAAATATTCAATATATTGAAAAAAATCTAATATATTTGATTCATTTCCCGATATTTAAGAAGCAAAATTCAGTATATTGAAAATAAGGATCCAATTTAAAAGATTTATTTTCCAACATATTGATTTCTCATTTCAATATATCCAATTTTTCATGTCACGGTTGAAAATTTGCCGTATGCTCATATTGTTTATTCCACGAAACGACTGCACATCATTGTATATTTCAGTTGGAAATATAGACGAGACGATAATTTTTCTGCTGTTCACAAAATTTGGCTTGTCAGGAATTGTATAATATTCCATCCCTTACTCTCACAACCTTCCTGCGAGTGCAGAGCAAATAATATCAATAGTCAGCAAACGTCATTTAAAATATTGTATTCATGTGACATACCGATTAGGAAATGCAAGTTCTGTGAGATCACATCGTTGCGCAAAATAACGCGGTACAGGAAGGACTATTGTACGTATTGCTCGTTCGGAATAATATCAGTTTTGCTTCGATCGTTAGCTAACTCACAAACACAAGTTTCACTTCCACTCTCTATAACAATTCATCTCATCTTATTTCTTTCAATTCCATGTATTTGATTTAACATCTCAATTCCTGATGAAATGAGCTTTATTGCATGCAACTTGAAATATTCCTTGAGGTACTATTTTTAATTTCATCAGTATTTTATGGTCTCTCGGTGCACAATTTTTTTTCTGATGAATTTGATCATTTTCAAATATATATCGGGAATATTTTCAATATATTGGATTTTTTTCCAATATATTGAATTGTTTCTTCATTGTTTTGGATTTATTAAAAAAATTCAATGTATCATAATTCTGTGACCCAAAGACGCTTTCGTTATTATGATATTTCTGGAGAAAAAAAAAATTTTCTGAGAATTATTCCTTGAATCGTGAAATATTCCCAATAATTACATTCGTGCATAGAAATTACCAGACAATTTTGCATTCGAGCGTTTTATCTTATACAAAGTTCATTCGTTCATTTTCATATTCTGTAAAAGAGCCCTTCTTCTTCGTACTCGGGCTCTTTCGCCAAATTATGAAAATAAACTCTTGCAATTCTTAGATAACAGGCTATCTTGCAAAATTATCGGTAATTTTTATGCACTCGTGCAATTATAGCCGATAAGTATGTTCCATCAGATTCTCTATTTGTTCAAGGTATATGTGTTCATGTCGTATTTCGCCATTTTGGCACAGACTCTATCCGGAGTATTCGTACGAGGAATGACACAGATAGCAGAACTGCTGGTTTCCATAAGAAGGCTGCAGAGTTTTCTCGTCAATGAAGAATTCGATTTCTGTGAGAAAATACAGATGAACGGGAATACTGGAATAATCGAACAGAAAGACAGTATAGTTTTCGAAATGGTCAGTGCAAAATGGAATATGGATATCAGCAATCCTGTACTGAACAGTATCAGCTTGAAAATACCGAAAGGGAAGTTGATTGGTATAACGGGACCAGTTGGATGTGGAAAGAGTTCGCTTCTACACACGATTCTAGGTGAGTGATTTTTTTGACGATTGTAGCGCACAAAAGGAAATCCCTATATTGTTCGAAGAACATTGTACGTACCCAGGGAGAATAGGCAGAGTAGGTAGGTATTGGAATTTTTTGAACTCTTGTTAATTATGAGTTCTTGGAATCACTTCCTCAGGAAATGCCCTTCAGGGCTTTTCCGTTCTATGGACAAACGAGTTTTGATATCAAGTGCTATTCGCTAATTTGGAGGTTGGCAACGAAAGGATGTACAGACTGGGCTTGCAGACTTTGTGTGACTGGTATTGCTATTGAAGGAATGATAGCAGAGATATCTGACGAACATATTCCGTGGGAGTATCTATAGAGAAGTAAAAGGTCGCCGACCTTTCTACGATGGTCCAATGATGTCAAAGAGTTAGTGACTGTGGTATCACTCACTAGGCAAATGACTCCTCTCTAGATGGAATCAAACAGCATCAGCGTATATTTGGTTGCTGAACCACAAATATGAAATCAGTATACTAGAACTGGTCGTATTTGTGCCTCGTACATCATGAAAAGCTGTTGAGGTATTAAGTAGCTTTCGCGATGGATTTGACATGATCATCCGATGAAAGAAGATACCGAGATTGGTGGTACCAGACATTTTTCATCAGGCATACTGAGTTCCGTCTCTCTAGAACTCATGTTGATTGAACTCAAAATATATTTTGTTCTGCTGATAGATCTTCACAGAATTGGTTGATTGCTCTTTATGTGTTCACTGAGGCGATACCTCATTTATAGTAACAATGGTTCATTTTGGACGTTTCATCAACATCACAGAGATACGTGAAATGGGTTTTCCTTATCGTTTCACTCAAAATATTCTTCTAATCTCGATGAACATAGATTTCCGGAATGATGAAATTGAGTAATCCTTGAATTCTATTCAACACTCCAGTTTATCATGATCTACAAAGCACAGATGGAGCATGTTTCAAAATAGTTTTTTCACATATTGTGTAGCATTTAAAATTGCTGAGAAATCATCATTTTCAGTTGCCTTCGCATGAAAATTCAAGCGAATTAGATTTAGTGCAACATTTGGAGGTGCAAGGAATCATTTTCTTTTTCTCTCTATACATTACCATTCTGTAAATATTAACCTTTCAGATCTAGACAAGAAGTCATACTCACAAAGGATATTCAGTCTGAAACTTGGTAAATAATCCTGAAGTACTAGAATGTAACTCTTAATAAACCACTTTATCACAAAGTTTTGAATAACAGCATAGAAATAATAACAGTCATGATAAGTAATGTCTTCTGAAATTCTATGTGCCGATAGAAGGTGATGATATGAGCTGCAGGAGTCTTGATTTCTGGCGTTCTGATCCTAGAAGCCTAAAATTCTGAGAAATAGTTTAATGTCGTTGTCCATTCCGAAAGTAAACAAACGACTCACCATTGTGTTCGCAGGTGTGATGAATTCCATGTCGCTGGTTTATTTCAGGGTGTATCCAAGGTGATTTTTTGATCTGAAATGGTATTCTCGGTGTTTGGAAGAATTATTCCCTTCATTTTCTGGAATTTATTTTGAGGTTATAATATTGTCATCCAGACGTAATTGTCAAGTATGTCACTCATCTTCTGTGAGTAGGACTTAGGCACAATATTACAATGTTGTGAAATAGTACTACCGAAGAAGAAGGAGACCCTACTTTTTCTCTTCTTTCTTCGGTATTTCTTTTGTTCGTTTGGACCTAGTGATTCTGGTGTTTTTCTTCTGACCAATGAAATAAAAGGAGTTTATATTTGGCGCTGAATTTTGACAGGAAGCACCCGTTTCGATAAGATAAGTTGAGATAGGGAATTCTAGGAGGAAATTTCCGTTAGCTATCTCGAGGATTTTTCTTGGCGACCGTCATGGTGTGCACTTGAGCTAGTTTGAGCATTTCTTTCCTCGGTTTAATCCGTGGAAACCCTTCGGGGGATTTGTCATACCTTGAAGTTGATCAAATTATCTGTGATTCTGGCCATGGACCTGTGTGGGATTTGTTTCCTCTTTTCGGAGACTGCCTGATGTCCCCAGGAAGCCATGCAGCCGGTCTATTCAGCTTATAAAGATTCGAAACTAACAGTTCTTCAAGCCTTTCCTTCCTTCTCAGAAGGTAGGTCATATGCAGAGCAATGACTATCAACTTGTTGAGGAATATTTCTTTTTGATATCAGTTTTTTTCTGTTCCCCACGTGTCTGTTAAGAGGTTATATCAACCTGTTATTTTTTCAATATGGTATTAGGGTATGGCTTAGCTGCCTTCGGCTTCTAGTAACGAACAGCTTGTGGGATGATCTCTCAACCTTGGTCATGATTTCCACAAGGACTAGGTCGCTCATTTTATCCTGACCAGAGTCGACAGGTGGCCCAGATCAGGCTCAGTAGTAACCGGTCAAGCTGACCGGCTGAGCCACACCACTGAGCCCTACTGTGGACTGTGGAGGTCCATCAATTTCTTTGTTCCTGTTCTTTTTTTTGTCTTCGTCTTCATGTTCTCAAGCAAGCCTACACACAATAGTGGACCTTGGATAGGGGTGATAGGACCATTGGAGACGACCCTTCAATAGACCAGGTCTTTTTATTCCATCATTTTGTTCAAATCTGAATTCGATATTACAAAATTCTGATCATGATCATATTCAACATGTATGAAGCTCTTGTGAAGCTCTCCCATAGTACTATGTGACAGCGGATTCAGGTTTTTTACAGATTATTGTCTTTTCAATTTTCTTGAGATTTATACATCTCCTTTAATAGTTGGAATATGATGATTGCTATACTCAAACGCTAGTCATATAAAGAGGTGGTAATTGTCATGATGTAGAATAATTAATTCAGATAACTTATACAATAACTTTGAATTCCCCTAGGAGCAGTCATTTCATGGTTATGATATTTCACGGTTATGATATTTCATGGTCATGTTACTTCAAGATATTTTATGATAACACATGCTACATATTCTGATACTTCGGTCTTTACACTGGTCTCCAAAAACCCTGTCTATTATGGTGTTAATAAATAGGTCTGAAATTTGATATGGTTTTATTCATCTACTTGTGTTGGCACTACCGTTTAAGAAGATTTTTTTTATATTTCTATTTCAGGATAAGGTTTTGAAAAACATTGTAAGTATCCAACTTATTAGTTTTCTCAATTATCCAAGTATCAGTAATTGTTTTGTAAATTGAGTGGCGCCCTCTGAACTTGAAATTCAACTATCTGCAATCACAACGAGTCCACTTATCTATTCTCTGACGAAAAACTGCCGTTCGCTTATGTGTCTTATATTTTCATTCAATTTTGGTTTATATCAATCAATATAAAAAAGTGAGCCACAATTGGATGGATTGGATGTTCTCCGATTCCATTCAGAGAAGAGCCATCCACCTGGTGGATAATGCCATACTCACTTATCCCTAGACATCCTCAGTAAACCAAAGAAAGTTCAGTAAACTGTCAATCTTCTATCGATAGTTCAACGACAAATGATCTTCAAAAACCTATATCATCATCCCATCAATAGCAGTCCCAAATAACATAATCAGTTTATTGAAGTATGCCTCAAAGCAATAAAGAAACCTATCAAAGATGAGCCGATTGTAACAGATAATATTCGCATCGATGAAATTTATTCGTTTTTCACTAGAATTCATTGTACTTTTATAACTAAATAAACTGATAATGTTACTATACCAATATACTGACCAAATCATTCGACACACAAATGCATAAAATAATGTGAACAATTCAAAATATTGCGTGAAAGTTCCCGTTGGTAGCTCATTCGACAAAACGCTCGTGTACAACCAACTGTAACACATACTGTGTGACATTGGCTATTGAATCGACCAGCGAGCGTACCGTAGCATCGCGTTCATGCATTACTTCCATTAAGGTCGAGGGTTTGATTCGAATTAGCCTTAGTTTGACCATTAACGTCCAATGGTACAATTGTCTACCAGTAAGCATTGAAGGGTTAAGTAATTTTTTTTTCATTTTTTTGCTTGAAGTTGCCATTTCTCTCAATTTCACACTATTCATTTTCTTGAGAGTTCATTTCAACGTGAGTCATTTGTTGGCAAAAAATACGAACATTCATATCATTAGGTTTATGTTTGACACGGTTCTGAATAAAACTTCAGAAATCCTATAGATTTCATGAATGACTTCGATGGATTCAATGTTGCTTATTGGTTTCAATGATTACTTTCACATAGCTAGAATAACGCCATTAGGTTTCATTATTGCCTCAGTCAAATCCTAATTGGCCTACCGTAAATTTGTTCTCATGATTGCTTTATGACGTATTTTGATAGGATTTCTTCAAAACCTGTTGGTCAAATTCGAGACACTAATGAAACTTAAGTGTTTCAAGAGGTTTGTTAAGAGTGAATAGTTTTGAAGAGGAATTCCAATGACTCTCACAGAGCTCTCTCAAAACCAAAGTCTTTTAATAGGATTATATGGAATTGAAGGCCAATATCCTTCTTCCAGGGCATTCAAAAAACTTTAGAACAAATCAGACCTAGCATTTGTGCTCACATAACCTCTTCGAAGTCTCATCGAAGCTATTAGGCATTCAGAATGTTACTTTGGACACCTACCAGTCAGACGGACTCGACAAGCCTAGTCAGCACACTCGTTCGCGATCAACCTTGAAGTATGTCGAACGGCACTTGATACAAATCCGTTGGTCTATAGAATCTCTTGCGAATGGAAGTTTTCCCAAGAACTATTACCTCCAATAGTTCGAAAGCAAATCCGATACCTACGCCCCCCTTCCTATTATCTTCACGATGTTTTCCGAACAATATATGGATTGATGTAAAAACTTCACAAACGATAAGATTTCCACAAAATTTATTAAACACACGACATGTTTCGCTAACACAGTAGCTTCGTCAGGTGATATACTGATACAATGGACTACTAACGTTGGCTTGCTTAACTTTTATATAACTTACCTTCCCAACCTGAAGGATTACTTACCTGTGGACAGGTACGATAAACCTCTATTTTCGGAAATCAGGCACAATATTTACATAACATTACGGTATACCGGATTAACTTGAAAGAGTTGATATCAAATACATATTATTACTTACTGAGGAAACAAATTCAACAGTGGTGAACTATTAAGGTCTAATTGATCATTAGGTAAAATGTCAAAATTTTTTAGTTTGTTGATTTCTAATGATTCAAAATGATTGAGTTTCAGTTCAGTAAACTTAGCTTTATTCCTCATATTAAATTTATCTGTAACAAAGCTTTGAAGATGCTTGGGTTCATCAAACGATCAACAAAGGACTTTCATAATATTGTTGCATTGAAATCCCTTTACTTCTCATTGGTACGCTCTCAACTTGAGAATAGCAGCTCTGTGTGGTGTCCTGCCTTCCAAGCTCATATCACGAAAATAGAAAGAGTTCAGAAACGTTTTTTGCGTTATATTGGTTTCAAGCTCGGTATTTCTATGGAGAAATTTGATTATGACAATATTTTAAATCGCCTGAACATAAAAAGCCTAGAAGAGCGTAGAAGCAACTATGACATCATCACTATTCAAAAATTATGTAATAATCAGATTGATTGTCCTGAATTATTGGCCTCCCTAAAATTTCATGTTCCTCAAAAACGATTACGTTATAGCAGCACTTTCAATTCAAAAACTCATAGAACTATATATGCAAACAATAACCCGATAAACAGGATGATGACGCTGAGTAACAGAGTGAACTGGGACAATTTCAACACTGGCACTGAAAGAGCCAAACGCATTCTTGTAATAATGTAATGTTTTTATTTTTAATGTTCATTGTATTCAAAGTGTAGAAATGTATAAATCAATCAATGTTCTGTGATATGTTGTATAGGCTATATATATTCATGTTTTTTTTTACACTGGGTTCACCCGTTAATAAATAAATAAATTATTTATTATCTACGTGCAGAATTTTGAAATTATCATCAAAACTATGGTTTCCTTCTAATATATGGTTGGCGTATGTTGAATTTGTATTCTTTTTCATTAAATTCATCTTATGTTCTTGAATGCGCTGATTAAACGTACGACCTGTCTGACTGATATATACCTTAGGAAAAGATCCACATTTGAGTTTGTTCACCCCTGATTTTTCGAATTTAGAATATATGGATTCCTTCTCGTGCGCTCTAAAAGAAATGACAATTTTGATAATAATTTATTTCTGATTGCAAAACAGACTCTGCAAATTGGGAAATATTGTATTCAACTGGATACATGAAACTTTCATATACTCTATCTCAATCCGAACAATTTCACCATATATTCACCTCAAATTTGAATAGAACAAATGTTACATACTTACCATCTGTTTGTGAATCGCAGGATCTTTGGAGAAAAAATGTAATACAGTTCAAGAAGTATTCATCAATAAGAATATTTCTCGAATATATTTTGGGGAGAGTGATAAAACTACAATATGTATATCCAAATATATTTCCTTGTGACAGAGGTATTTTGAATATTAGTGAAGAGGTTTATTTCGTTCAATTGGATTCGACTATATCCTGCGATGAGCAGTCGAAAAATTTCGAAATGTAGTGGAATTTTCATTCATATTATGGTTTCTGCTGTTTTATTGCACCAGGGGATTCAATAAGGGTCACGAGGTAGGAGCTGTGTATTCCAGGAACTGTTTTCCAGAAACTCAGCTTTCGAAACACGACCACTAGCGAGTGTGGTGAGAATCAGAATGGAATGTATCATTTTTATTTTTCTCAAATTTACCAGACTTTCTCCCCTTGAACCAGACCTTGTTAGCAAAATGAATAGTTCCTTCACTCCACAAATAATGAATTGATATTGATGAAAATGAAGGATCTTCGGCAATCTGAAATGAATCGATTCGTAGTAAATGAAGTAGAGGATATATCGATTCAAGTTTTTATTAAACTCAATGAGGATGATTTATCGATATAATAATTAGTGCGTGATCGGATTTTTCCACATATCACATGAGGAATGAATAAGTATATGAAGAATTGATCGAATTGATGAAAATAATTATTGAATCTCAAACGTCCATTCAACTACGTCCATTGGACATTAAACATACATGTGGTGTTTGGGTTGCCTACACGTGATCATTTTAAAATTTACTACTCAATTCGTTGATTTCTCCAAGAATCATTAATACTCTTCAATATTTCCTTCTCAGGTGAACTATACATCAACGAAGGAACGATGTCAGTCGATGGATCAGTCTCCTACGCGTCTCAAGAGCCCTGGATTTTCTCCGGGACTATTAGACAAAACATATTGTTCGGATCGCCGTACAGAAAATCGCGCTACAACGCAGTAGTGCGCGCATGCGCTCTACAAAGAGATTTTGATCAGTTTCCTGATGCCGATCTGACGCTGATCGGTGATAAGGGAGCCTCCCTTAGCGGTGGACAGAAGGCGAGAGTCGGTTTGGCGAGAGCCGTTTATAAGGAGAAGGATATTTATCTGCTGGATGACCCGTTGTCTGCGGTTGACGTCCACGTATCAAAGGTTCGAATTCATTCATTATATTCCTAATCGAATGATCATGAAAAACATCCATCAGACAATTTCGTCTGAATATTTTTTCCTGAAAAAATCTTTCATCGTCAAGAACATAATTATATTACCGAAAATGATGATGATGCAACCTTGGCTTGAACTGGTAGTTCAATTGTCGAATTGTTCTGTTTCATTCGTGATAGATTCTGAAACGATCTTCGTGTATATGAATCGTGAATTCATCACATTGTCGCTGTGAAATCAAACTGACTTATCAGCAAAACAGTGAATTTTGGATTATTGGAATCAAAAAATTCATTTTTTTCACCTCTTCGAGTGAGCCAAACCGGCATATTATGCATAGTATCCTCGTTCATAAGCAGTTAACAGATGTATTGCCAATGCAATGCAATTATACCCATATTATAAACTTAGAAGTAATATACCGACATATCTGCAAATTTCTTTGTTCCCAGAATATTTCCTAGTTATTTGCCACCGATGCAGCTACAAGCAAAATCGAACTCAATTTCTTGCACAAAAAGGTAGCTCTGAGATTGAAAATCAAGTAGATACGAAAAAATAATCGAGTAAGAAAACTTTGAAGCGCTCTGGTGAAAAATAGTAGTTCTGCAGATACGCCGGTTCAATTTCATAGCGACATCATATTGACTGATGCAGAATATTGCGTTGAATGCAATATCTCGAAAAATAGTTGTTACATATATGATGATAATGAAAAATCATATGGAGAAGAGAATTTTCACAGAGATTTCAAGAATAAGTCTCAATATATAGATTTTGTGATTAATTCCGAAAAAAGAGGTGTCAAATATAGCTTCATCTCTATATATTTTCCTCTTACAATGATCGAAGACCAGTTATGTCAAACAAATTGGAAGTGGCTTTCTACAGTGCCACGAGATGAAATTGTCGTAAATCTGAACTTTTATCATGAATCACAGATCTCTTGCTAGCCAATCGATATTAGTTACCTGCCCCTTTCAGGGGATCAAATTATATCAATAATAAAAATTATTGCCACTTGATGGCTACAACATATGACTATAACTTCATGTTATACCCTGCGTCTTCGAAATGGGTGATATACCCCAAGCGTAGAGTTGTCCCAGTTGTCAGCAGACCGAGAGCGGCTGATGAGACCTGGTGGGTCGAAACAGTACTGTCTCGCTCCTGCTGACAATTGGAGCAACTCTGTTCATCCTAAATCTCTTAGTTATGAGATCTAGCAGTTGAATAGGTGGTGGAAAAATTCCACTCAAGTATGTCAGGTCCTGCCATCTGTCAGCATAGCGTACGTGTGACTATAGATGGCAGCGCCATACAGTGTGTGTCGCGATTTCTGTATCCTACCTCAGAGCTTTATTGCCACTAGATGGCTACAACATGACTATAACTTCATGTTATACCCTGCGTATATCAATAATGTTGATCATTATGCATAATTTTCAATCATGAATTACAATTACAAGTTCAAGTGGAAAATTGAGTAAACTCTGATGCATAAAAATATATGATTTCCGTGCAGGAATAAATTATTGGCAATGTTGACGACAATGTTCGCATGTTAATGGGCGATTTCATGAGTGCTCGCAATACCATCGATGATTATTTTGTGAGAAATCAACAAAATCCAATTGTTCAATAATACCACGAGTCCGAAGGTTATGTATATATATGTATATAGTTTGAGAATGATGATAAACGGCATTCTCATACTCATCTTCATTTTAACATAGTGATAACTATTTCAGGTTCTTTATGACGAGTGCATCAACAAATTTCTGATTGGCAAGACGAGAATACTGGTAACTCATCAACTGCACTGCCTTGGAAATGCAGATCGCATTGTCATCTTGAATAACGTGAGTTGCTTAATTTTTCCCCCTAGAGATGATTGATATATGATGTGGTTCCACTGATCACTGATTCAACATCCAAATGAGAATTTTCCCTATTTTCATAAACCATCACCTACCTACTCAATGCTGTTCACCTGATATCAATGGAAAACCGCAAAAACGACTTATATTACCAGAGTGTGCTCTCAATATTCGTTGGTACGTATGGGTAAAAATGGTGAGAAGGGTCCCGAAATGAGAAGTGTTATTATAATGATATCAAACCAATATGAGATTAGTTTGCTGTCAATGATCCCATTATTTTCCAGATGGTTACACTGAGACTGATTCTCAGTGTTTTAGTCAACATCTGAACTCCACGATAAGTCAATTATGAACTCCATCTCTTTCCATTGGAATATCTGCGAGTACAAAATGACGATTGTATTTTTGTTAGAAACTGTTTCTCTGACGCGGTGGTCCTACGACTGCTGACTGGTGACTATTCTGCTTTTATGAGAGCCAAAAGCCTAGAATTAGTTTTCAGGTGTGAAGCATTAACCTGGCTACAATCTGAAAAGAGTCGACTTTTGGAAAAGAAATACGTGCATCAGTGTTTGTTTATACGAATCGATGTATAGGTTTTGAGATAATGTATTTCGATGATCTAGGTGGCATAAGCCAGGAGAGTATTTCTTTCGTATCTGTCGTCGATCATTGTTGTGCATTTCGAGTATCCATTTTCAATTCCTATCTTACTCTGAGCATTTCGACAATTTTCTCAACTCGAACCGTGTTCTCATGTATGGTTTTTGGGAAAATTCCACTAGTGAGTGAGTGCTCCTCAGAACATCTCCGAATTCAATATTTCACCATATAACTACAATTTGAATGAGTTTCTTTACCAATCACTTGCAGAAAATACTCTTCATGATAGCTTGTAGCCGAAAACAGTTGGAATTACTTTCGAGGCATTCAAAACCGTCCAAATAACAGGATTCTAGACTCCACAGTTCGATTGGTGAAATATTCAATTCCACTTCCGGAAGCAACTTGAGGAATTCTGAGGAATTCGAAAATAAAACAATCTTATCATCCCATCAACACAGAAACGTCCTGCAAATGTCCTGAAGCCCTCCATCTCGGACATTGGAAACGTCCCCAGATCGTTTATTCCAGGTACGGCGCTAGTTTTCAGGACGTTTTGGAGACATACGATGTTACACAATGAGAGGTCTCCAGGAAGTACGATCAAGGTCCTGTTCAGGTCTGAACGGGAACATGAATACCAAAATCAAGGTAGATTTGCCTCTTTCCCTCAGATAGTTGCAAAAGAGACCTGGAAAAAAAATCTTATTTTGAATAACAAAATTAAAAAAGTGTTCCCACACAGAGAAAAAACTTTAATAATGGTTATTAAACATTTACTAGTCACAGTTAAAAACTTGAATACTATATGGGACAGATATACAGTATGATAGTGGTAGATAAAATATTTTTCCTGAATCGGTATACCTGCAACAGACACTCAATTATATAGTTCATTGATCGTTAATGAATAAAAATATTTAAAATCAAATCAGGATTATTGAAGTGTTGAATAACATTGATAAGACAGTTTAATCACCATTGAACATCAAATAATTCCCTTTGAAACATTGCTATATTATCTTAGAGACTTCTTCACCTGTTGTAGGTTCATACTTCAATGATAGTTATTCAACAGTTCAATAAATTTGCGATACTATATAGTTGCCACAGGTAGAAAAGCATGCTGTTGCAGAAAAATAGGTGATATTCTCTGAGATATATCTACCTGATGTTGGGTACATCGTTTAATTACTACCACTGAAGAATACAATTATTCCAGAAACATTATTTAGTTGTCCTTCGATCATAAACTCGTCTCTGGAACATAATTCAATTATCACAGTAGTCCAATTTAATTGAAATATTGGGGATGCGCAATGTGAATACCTGAAAAGGAGTCCAGAAACGATCATTCTGATTCCTGATTTTTAATGGCCTGGATATAGGAAACACCATAAAGATATTGTCTACGAGTATCAAGTGCACCCGTGAAAAACATAAAAAATCATGAATCGGAATGATCATTTCTGGTCCACTTTTTCAGATGGTGCAGACATGTATATAGATTTATTCCTGTAAAACAAAAAATGATGAATGCGGAAAATCAAATCATTAGGTTTCTGGTTAACTATTCATCATTTATCAACATTACAGAATCAATTTTTTGAAAGCTGTTACATATAGTTCAATTTGGATGGATATGTGCTTATTGCTGAATATTGGAGCAAGAAATGTTTCATATTTTCAAGGTATCACACAATGTGGATGGTGATTCTATAGAAGAAAAAAAACATTGATACAAAATATAGGTACATTATATAATATATTCTAGTCATTTGTAATTTCAGAATAAACTACATAAAAAAATGAACTTGAAATAATTATTTTCAATATACAATAGTTGTCGAACTGACTCATATACAAATATATTTCAGACGTTGATGGAGTATCTGCGGGCCGCGGGGGTACTAGGTCCACTCGAATTTAGATCAACTGGCATCAAGTTCTAATCGGGTACATCATTACCATCAGCACCCTGAAATTTGAAAATTCTTCTATATAATATATGTTGAATTCCTCCTATTATTTTCTTAACAATTCAAACAAATAATCCTATTTCAAGAGATTCATTGGAAGAATAAACTGTTAACATGTAGCGAACGTGTCGTGAACCCATCCAAGTAAGGCCATTCTTCATAAAACTTCACTTTGACTCAAATCCAAGGACACCGAATAAGAAAAATCAAGAACCGTTACCTGAAATTTTTTACCGTGTACCTTCTATGAGAAATAAGATTTTTTGCAAACATTCACAGTAGAGAGTCTTTTCATTTTGATATTTCCCAATTTATTTCTTGGCTTTTGTGAAAAATAACCATAATAATTCTCCTGTTTCGGTAATAACTTGAGGTCAATTCATTTATTTATCTGAGATTATATATTTTCTTAATCTTCAACACAATGTAAACTACTCAACAACTGACTTCCTACTGAAATTTTGACACCATAGAGCACACTCGTTAAAAATATTGAGAAGCCACAACCAGAATTAATAGGAGTAATTTTCAATATATAACCTCTTCGAATGAAAAATAAATGGCACGAACCACGAATAAAACGGTCATATGATATCAGATGTAACAATTAATTGCAAATGATCAACCAACATTAGAAACTAGAGGGCTTAGAATCATTTTCGGAAGGAGAAAAACATATCACTAAAAGATTTCTTCATGCACGGAGAAAAAAGAAATGTATATTACTCACCAAGAAAGAGAGTAGGGTTTTGCGTAAACTTCGCCAAATCCTGCTGTTTCAAAGTGTCGTCGATGAACTGCTTATGCTGCTTCTATTTTTCAACTCTCGACCTGGGGCTAGTCCAAGGCCTACTCTATCTTAGAGTAGGCCCTGGCTAGTCGCTCCATAGTGATAATTTCACTGGGAGAAATGTTTTTGGAAAAGTCACAATCACTTAACTTACATGCACAAAACAAATGTTCCAGAATAGAAAAAGGCACGCATAAGTGTTCGCAAACACCAAAGGTACAAGTACAGATACAGACTGAGTTCATTAATGGAATGAAGTGCAGAAGAGTTGCGCAGTCAGCTCGTGGCGTAATCGTGGTTATTCGAAACTAGCCGAATGATGACGAAACAGAAAAATCAAGTGAACTGTTACCTGTTGTTATTAAACTGGTAATAATGACATAATTATTTCTTTCACTCATAGAAAACAAGGATTGAGGGACAATTATATTAATGTTAGGTGGATTGTTGTATACTGAGTATTAAACACATCGATAAAAATTAATCAAGCACAAGAAAGATGGCCTGTTCCAGGAGCAGAGTTAACCTGCCACTGGAAGTCGATATCAGAAAAAAAATTCCACCTATTGTAATGGTACAAAAGTTCATTAATATATTCGTAGGTATTAAATTTTAATCAAGTGTACTTGTGTACCTGGACCGTTTTTCTCTGTGCACTGAGGATCGATCCCACGACCTCTAGATCACCGTATTAGAGTCGTTTATTAGAGGTAGCTGATTTTGGCCAAGGAATATGAGCCTATATGTGAAGTGTTCGTCGCAGAAGCCTATCTCCTAGGTCTGAGCCCTTTATAAAGGTGATCTCGCGGAGGATACCCAAGAGGGTGGAGGAGTTGATCAGCCGATATCAGTTGTAGAGTTTGCGTGTTGTTATGAAAATGAAAACCAAGAACCTTCTCCTCGTTTGCCTCGGTTAGCTATTTCCACCCGTATCTGGCTGTTAGGCCAGTCATCGGACTCGGGCGCGTGCGCATCACTGACCAAGTTTAGTGCCAGATCATTTCTCATTAGCTTTGTTCCTCTGCTTTCAGTGTAGTGTTATTTACACCACCACTGAAAACCAGCTGCTTTGATGGTGTCAATGAGTGTTGGGATTTTAGAGAAACAGGAAAGTGTAGATCATGTGTTTACAATCTTGTAAAAAAAGTGAAAATAGCATTTAGAAGGTACAGGAATAAATTTTTTCAAGATTCGATTCGTGACAGTTTTTATTTGATTTGATTATTTAATGATCGAGAACATTGATATGTTCATCGATGATAACGAAGAGTTACTTTCACAAGCAGTAGCAGTGATGACGAGCACGATAGTGAAATTTTGGCAAGTCGATAACTGAATATGATATCTGAAACCAACAGAATGAAACAAGTTTTGCAAACTGGGCTGTGCAATTGGAGAGAATCCATGCTAAGAATTAATACTAACCGTATTTCAGTTTATGAATGATTCATTCAGTATTTTCATGCAGATCCACTTCTATATCGTTTATACGAAATTTGATATATTGATATGAATAATAGTTCAAAATTTTTTAATATTTGCAAATTTCATCAAAAGAAACCATTTAACATCTGTCAGTGTATTTCACATCGTCTATAGCCTTGGTG